TCCCTTCCTCAGCACCTGTTTTTGAACCACTCGGCCCCGGTCGTCGGGAATATGGGCCGTCGGAATCCAGGGCACTTCTTCCACGCTCATCACTCTTCCTGAGGAGGAGAGCGGTCGGGCTGGAGGGAGGACGACTGGGGATGGAAAAGGATAAGGAAAAGACTCTTCTCAGGCTCTTGTGAGCACTGCGTGGTTATTTCTTCCCTATCTGTGTGAGCTGCGTCTTGCTTGCACTTCTACCACTACCAGAGAATGATTTCCAGCACCAGATCGACCCCACACTTATGAGCTCACTCCACGCTCGTCCGCTTACTTCAACGTTTAAGCTTCTCGCGCCCCTTCCCTTATTTTCCCACCTGTCGTTTTTCCTTGCTTGTATCCGAGCATGAATGCAATCAGGAGCCCAGCCATGTAAACCAAGAACACTGAGGTCGAAAGCTTTCTTCCAGGAAAGGCAGTGACGCCCATCTTGAAGAAGAGAGGGAATAAACTGCGTGCATGCGTCGACTTAGGTCCCTGAACACACGGTAGACGCATTGCTGTGCTTATGTGGAAGTGACAGGGGTCTATTTTATGACTCAAACAGGTGACATGATTGCCTCAGAGGCGAAGTACACAATCGCACGTCGTGACAAGGAGCATGCATTAATAGCACTAGTTACGACAAAACTTTCCATAATTGAAGTTGAAGCTAACTACACAGCCATTTTCATGCCCATGTGTACAGTCGTGCGCGCGTGGGGTAAGGGGACGCGAAGGAAAAGAAATGCTTGCATGCCTCTTGAGGGCAATGAACTGGCATATGGGCCGGGCGGGCCCACGCACGCGTGAGCTTGTCCCTTCTTTTTCGGAACCATCGAAGCCCCGCGACCATGGCTGCACACAGCTCACTACCATCTTTATCACCACAATATACTCATGTCCGACCAGGGCCTGTAGTGGGGAAGGGAGCTGCTGCCACGATGTATAAAGCCGAGCAGGGGTGTCATGGCAGCGCGAACGGGGCATGCGAGGGGAAAATCGTCTGGCTCGGCGTCCCAGGAAAGGAAATCAGTTCAGATTCAGAGGGTTCTAAAATGACAGAGGATGCATACACCACCAAAATTGGCGGATGGCCGGTAGGGCTTGCGACGTTTTCCCCCTTAATTTGACAACCCTACTTGACAACCTCCTCCCCTCCTCTCCAGTCGTCCTCCCCTCCTTCTCCTCCCTTTCCTTCCCTCCCTCACCCCTTTCTGCGCTATGTCTCTTCAAAACAAGCCTCTTATTTAACGCTTACTTTGATGACCCTCTTTACTGGGTATTCTCAACGAAACATTCATACCTGTATCCTACCCTCTCCATCACTCCATGCCAGGTTCCCCTCGTGAGAGGAACGCTGTCACTTCTTGAATTGTCTCCTCGCTGCGAATACTGCCACGAGCCCCTTTGCCTCCTCGCTCAGGTGATAATACTCCTCATCCATCTCCTTCCCCTAATATATGCCCCGATCATGCGTCCGCCCGCAGCCGGCGCTTCCTTCCTCCCTCCCTTCCTTCCTCCCTCCCTCCCTTTCCTCCCTCCCTTCCTCCCTTGCTTTTTCCCACCTCTCTCGCTTACCCCTCCCCCCAATTACTTGTCAGATCTATGCACCTGTCTCTTCTCCTCGCGTTTTGTACATTTTTGCCTGTCAGAGGGGACCCTTCCCTTCCTCCCCCTGAACCATCTTTAAGGTCGTCATCCAC